CTTGCAGTCTCAGAGAAATCGTCTCTGGTTTGTGCCTATTTTTTGATTTATTTTTTAAAGCTGCAGTAATACACTGTAAAAACTGATCATCTAACTAAGTCTTATGATTTTATATCCAACCAAAAAATATTTTATCCTTTTTTTTGGTGACTAATTTACCAAACCAGAGCGGAATGTGTAAGATTATTCATCTTGTTAGCCTGGAAATTAGCTGTAAGACTTGGGTAGATGAACAATTTTTTTTGCAGTGTAGTAGAACATTTGTTGTGTGTAAAACATTGAAGAACAATAAGCGTGCTTTCAGTGCTTTGCATTACGACTATAGAACACTGAGAAACCAGATCAATGAAGTGACACAACATGTATGAAGAGGAGCAGAAGTGAAGGTAAAAAGATGAAGGGCAGGAAACTGAGACATGGAGGATAGAAAGTCGRTGATTTTAAAGGAAACATTGACGTTCTTTGTTCACGATTTGTTTTCTCCGTCTTTGCTGGAATAAAGCTAAACTTTTCTAATGCTTTGTTTTACCTGAGCAATAAAACAGATGAAACCATGAAGTTGTAGACAACTGATGAAAAAAAAAAAAAACACATGTTGATCACTTCTGGTTTAAAGCATGAAAACACTCTCACACACACACATGATGTGCATCAGCACACGGATGTTGACGAGTGCAGCAGAGGAGCAGATGTAGATCTGTGAGTGGGAGTGCTTCGACTTCACTCACTCACCTCATAGAGTCTGTCTGCTCTGCTCCTCTCACCCAAAACACACAGCAGATGTACAGATGACTGAAGAGAACTGAGCTGAAAGTGTGGGAGTGTTTCCCCCAAACTCTCCACTCCTGAGCTGCTTCACAATAAACAGATCAATCATTATTCGCCTGCATGAAGGAGATCTTGTTGCGTCACATCTTTTACTCTTATTTCCACACGCCTCGGCCGCTCAGAACCGTGAAGTGTCGCGACGTTTCCATTCGATGTCTGAGTAAACGGACGTGTAACGACTGGGCAATGTTTCCAGCAAGTCTGATGTTTGTGAAAAACAAAGAGCGGAGGTGATGCGTTAAGGTTAAGACGTTCAGTCTAAACATTTAGACAAATGTTTCTGCTTTGTGGTGTGTGTGTGTGTGTGTGTTTGTGTGTGCTGCGGGTTTCATAAATCACACAAAGCTGTGTATTTGCTGAAGCGGTAAAGTATAGTTTCCAACCAAACACACAACGAGAAATGAGAACATTTATTCTGGTTTATTTTATTCAGAACACATTACAGACTGGAAGGAAATGAAAAAAGTTATTAAGCAGAGTTTAACTCGGTGAACTAACTAAAACTAGCTGTTCTTTTACAGTACAATAAGTTCCAAACAATAACACTTGTGCTGTTTTTAAAAAATATGTGAGGAAGCTGGATATGGTTGAACAAAACTGAAATTAGACATCAACCCTTCATATATAAAAATGAATACTAAAAACAGTGTATATTTACAGTAAATATGCMCAGAACCCACTGGTTACACCTCAAATAAAACTAAATCCTGTTTAACATCTCTGCCACTCACTGTTATGTCGTCTTTATGTGGATTTCTTAAATGAACAAAATGCAATATACAATAGTTTGTTTAATATGATCTGAGTTACAAGTTTTTACTCAAAGAACAGCAGCAGAAAAATGAAAACAAAAGCAAATATAATAAGATGTTGCTTTCCATTAATAAAGTTTGATTTGCTTTTATCATGATGGTTTATGGGAAGTGATATGTGCCTTTGAAGCCATAAAATGAAACAAACAAACAAAAAAAGCTTTATAATATGTACAAACTCTGCAAAATGTATCTCGAGTGGCACAGATCATACCATCAAACTCTAGAAACTGAACAATGAACARAATTAAAAATATAGTTTGTCACCTTCCTTTAATTTTACCTTCGTATTCACCATGTTTTCTTTTACTTTAACTCAATTATCCTGAACCATTCCAAAGTTWATTACTCCCATAGCAGGGTCAAAACATCCACAGCTTCCTTCAGTCCTTCAAAATAAGAGTCTCAAATAAAGATTTTACAGACTGAKAAACAGCTGTAGACACAAGTATGACCTAAAATAACTTTTTTATTAGTAAAACATTTTGTGTTGAAAAGTCTCTTCAACACATAAGACTACTGGTTATTTACTTTATTTCCCTCGCTCGTTTTTTTTCCTCTTTAGTTTGACTTATAGCTCCTTGTGTTGACTTTAATTTCAAAAATGAAAACAAACAAAAATCTTCCTCGCCAATTTTTCTCCTCAGACAACTGGCATGGACTGACAACACGAGACAAAAACATGTTGAAAACTGTCAACAGGGMTGACTGTTTTCAGGATCAGTAGAGGTTTTTCAGTGTGACTTTAAAAGACGGAGAGCGCCACAGTTCAGACGCTGTGACAGCACTCGTACCGCACAAACCAAAAGATATTCACATATATGTAAATGATGAAGTCTAGAACAATAAAATCTACAGTTTTCATGATACTGGACACATGGACGGTGGTCCTGGGTGTATTTGGTCTCTTCAGATGGCACGTGTCTAACCCATCCTGTTGACCACGGAGTAAGGCCCTTCTGATCGAGTGTTGGGGTTCAGAGGCTGCAGAAATACAACCAACAAAGGAAACGGTGTTAACAGAGGTGGATCGGACAAACAMTTGAAAAGTTAAAAGCTGTGTTTTTAATGTTTTAGATTGGAAAAAAAATAGACAAAAGTGAAGTAAAACACCCAATGCACACAGACATTTCAAATCATTTGTTACATTTATTTAAAGATTTCTTTTAAAATTTATTGACAAAATTTCAGAAATTTACTTAATTTAATAAGGCACCCAAGCCAGATAGGAATTAACAAAGTACACACACATAAAGGGTGGTCCACAAATATCAAACTTTTTGTCCAGGTTTTGACCAAATAGCAATAATATTTTAGCTTTAGACTACACAAGTCGTTATAAGTTAATTAAAATTTGCTYCTATTGTGTTTTTCTGGACATATCTCAACTTGATTTATCTGTCATAAGTTTTCAGATGCACTATTTTGTAAATTTGTCATAAAGAGACCGTCACTGTTGCAACAGATGGAGCAGGAATGTGTCTCTTCGCTGGTCAGGGGAGGTACACGGCCACGAAGACGTGCGCTGTTGCCTTTTATCAATCCCAGTCAGTGGTCTAATCTCCTTCCACGAGTATTTTTACAACCTTTCTAAGTTTCATTTGACTGTTTTTGTCATTTTTCCCTGGAACATTTGTAATGTTGGCTGTGTTTTCTCACAGCCTTTGGCCAGCAGCTTCTCAGCAGACGCTGCTCTCAGAGATCTGCACACTGCTGCCACTTTACACGAACAAACACGCCCACAAACTTTTGACCAATCACAACGATCGATGCATACGCAATAAAGTCTAATGTTACAACTAATCGGGGATCCCTTTAACACTCTTTCCATGTGGAGTTTGCATGTTCTCTTCGTGCTTGCCTGAGTTTTCTCCAGGTATTCTGGTCCACCCCCCCCCAAAAAAAAAAAGTTAGTACAACAGGTTGCCTTTAGACCCAGGTCTCCCTTGAGAAAGAGATGTGCGATGTCAATGGGATTTACCTGGTTTATCAATGGGACAACAATAACACAAGCCCCACACCAAACGTTTTCACACAGGCCAATGCTTTGAGTATTGGTCTGCATAAAAGTGTCCAGACAACAATGGTGGTGTTTGGCTTCAACTACTTCTCTTCCAGAAACGTCCAAACTACATGGATAGTTCTGAGGAGTTGTCCGAGGCAGTCAGAAATTGCGCTCATCTATACAACTCTTCCAGACAAGGTGGTCAAAAAAAATAAATCCTGGGTCAAGAAAAGCACAAACAGTGTAAACCGGAAAATGTGACGCTCCATCAGTGACAGATCTGAGGCGTCGGGGTACAGACTTCAGAGGAAATTGGAAAACTGGTACTGTAACGTGTACAACAGTGGTAGTGGTTTCCCAGGAGCTCTGTACCATGTGTCTCATGAACTATGAAAGGTGTGTGTGTGTGTGAAAACTAACAACCACGTGATCTGGAGTGGACTGTTCAGCTTCGGATCAATGAAAAACACAATGTAAACATGAATTTGGAAAAAAAATAAAAAACATTGCTCTGCTTTTGGACAAAATCAGACAATCCTTTATCATTTGCTTTGACTCTTATTTAAAGTAGACATGTCATGCTTTTAAATTCTACTTTTTCACATTTAAATCCTTCAGTTGGGGTCTGCATAAAGTGGAACTAACTATGCTTTGGTTTGAATTCCTCCTTATCGTAACTCCACAAGCCCCTCTTTRGCTGCTTTTCTGAGGTGTGTCTCAGATCAACTCGTTTTGAGGCTGCCTCTTTGAATCCAAACAAGGCGCTTRATACTCTGCCCTRTTCCAGSTTCCAGAGCGGTCCATTCTGGTTTGARAGAGGGGTTTACGACTAAACGGCCGCGCAGAAACTTTTTATTAAAAGATGTCAACAACAGAAGACCTGTCCATCCAGCCTTACATGTTGGAGCCAGAGTCTGACCCAGAGCCAGAGAATGAAAACAACAAAATTGTAGTTGGTAACTCCAGACCTTAATCAGTAGTTCTATTGCAAATACTGTGACGTAACGTCATAGAAAATAGAGAAAACTGAACAGGTTGAAAAATAAGACCCAAAAATAACATAAAGAAACCACCAGGAGGACTAAATTCAAATTTTCTCCACTCCTATAGACTCAAAGTCCACAACAAAATGCATCCAACAGTTAAAAAGTGGATTTTGTATGATATTTCCCCTTTATGTTTCTCATTGTTGCTTAACTTAGGTGATACTAATGTTCTTATCAGAATCTTAGCATATTTCACACGTTACAAAGCATTTCAGTGAATGTAATGTTTTGCTTAGAAGATAACAAATGCTCAGATTCCCCAATTCACGTCAACCAGTGCTACAAAAAATAAAATAAAATAGAATACGATAAAATAGATAAAAAAAATCCAAAATAAAACATAAAATCAAAGTTTGTTCCATCGTTGTATTTTTGACAAACCCTACCTCATAGTCAGGAGACGGGACAGGTGGAGCCATGCCTCCTGATCTAACAGGTGCTAGAGGATGGACAGAGAACAGGTGTGTTTGTTTATTTACAAGAAAAGGAGAGTAAAATAAAAATCACTTCAACAGAAAATTTGACTACGGATAATTGAATATAACTTCTTTCTCTTTCTTACGTTTAGAAGTGCGAGCAGGTGCATCAGAGGTGTTCTTCTTGTTGCACCTGTAGATTATTACCATCAGAATTACTGTTGCAGTCAGATCCCCACTGAGGACCGCCAAAAAGAGAACTCCATCRAGTTCAAAGCAGTTCTCACAAGCTGAAGGAGAGAGGTTAGAGGTCAGATGAGCCATAACCAGGTAACAAATTAAAAATAGCTATGAATGAGTTATACCGTTACTCACCCCTTCCCTTTATGTAGAACTTATATTCCGWTTTTGCTTCTGTATTTTTACAGCTGTATTGGACTTGACGTGTATATTCAAATGTATACGTTTCGGCTTTTGTTTCTGAAACTTCTTTATTTTCACTGTCAAACCACGTTCCAGCTTCTGGACACGTCAGCGTGACCTTTTTTCTCGAGAACTCTGGTTCTTATTAAAACAGATGGAGATAAATCAAGTTACTTGGTTGAACTGGTTTTAGTTTATCATTTTACAAAGACCCTCTTTTTTTCTATAACCTCGAACAAAAAAGCAAAGTGAGCTGAAGCTAAGTCATCTTGTGCACACCAGAGCTTTTACAGGGTTTCTCTAAATACGACAACGTTTTAGGTAAATGTTTCCACTGTCAGGTTAGGATCCACAAAAAAGAACAATTACATTTTTACCAACGCACATCAAGAAACAACAGCAGTAAATGTGAAACCACAATACAGGAAATGGGAGAAATGCTAAAAAATATCTATATGTAATGGAGATATGTATTTTAAATAAAAAATTACTTCAAGTAAAAAGGAAAAAACAAAGACACTGAAACTTTTGTTACGTTCAAACACAAAGTAAAACTAACGCAGGACTGTTACCAGTTTTTGAATCAGAATTAGCAGCTGCGAACGTGAGGACGACGACGACGACGACGACAAACACGGCCTGAACCTCCATCCTGTGCATTTTCAAAACTCGTCCTCCTTGAGTCTTTCTTCAGTTTTCCAATTTTCAGATCAGATTCGTTTAAACTGCTTAAAAACAAAACAAGTTGAAATAAATTACATCAAGATGTCTTTGAAAAGGAAACAAGGCTCAGTCAAAACCTGGTGGCTCTCAGTCTGACTCTTCCTCTATAGAACACACACACACACACACACACACACACACACACACACACACACACACACAC